TGCTTCAATCTTTGTTCTTCTTAGCAGGTAAAATAAGAGTCTTCTTCATATCCATAGACTATGAAATGGAACTTCTCTCAAACCTGAATTTGTCTTTTCTATTGGGCAATCATTTGTGTCTCTGGTTCCTGTGGTAGTTTAAAGACTCAAGTGCAATTTATTTCCTTTAGCAGTGGCAGTGGGAGATTTGGTGGAGAAATAAGTAGGATTGTGGTAGAAGTTTCATTAATTTACATCTTTTTCTTCTGCTCATTCTATAGCAGAGGGCATATCCAACAATGCATCTTTTTAAAACATAAATTCTCATTTTTGAAATGTTTTATTGTAGATTTAAAATGTTATATGAAATACAAATGAAAAAAAAAATGCATTTTGTTTACCAAATGTATCTATGTGTTTGTTCCCTCCTCAGTCTGAGAAAAATATTTTCCTATGACTCTAGTACCTGGCTCAGCTTCTTTTCCTACTTGGAAACAGTATGTTCCAGGAACTATAGAAAGATCAATTTCACTGCAGGAGGAAGAGAGATTGCCTTTCTCTTTATTGCCAACCCCACAGAAATCAGATTTGAGGAAAGATGCTTGCTTAAAGATCAGTATTCTCTGGTAGTATGGTAGTGAGCGCTACAGGAATGGCAGAGCATCATGTACATGTAAGGTAACATCATAAAAGATGCATTTTTGGGGCACCTGGGTGGCTGAGTGGGTTAAGCCTCTGCCTTCAGCTCGGGTCATGATCCCAGGGTCCTGGGATTGAGCCCCACATCGGGCTCTCTGCTCAGTGGGGAGCCTGCTTCCCACACCTCCCCACCCCCCGCCGTCTGCCTCTGTCTACTTGTGATTTCTCTTGTTATCAAATAAATAAAATCTTTAAAAAAAAATGATGTATTTTCAGAAAAGAACAATCCTTTGATACTAATAGAACCGAGTCAAAAAAACCCCACTCAATCAAAACTTTGTCACTGGATATGCATAAATCTGGGTCAACAACAGTAGTTCCATACGAAACAGAAGGAAACGAGATGGAAGGCTGCAGAACAGTATCTCCCCAATACGGTGTGCACGCACGGAGAAAATACAAGGGTGCATGGCCACACGGATGTTATGAAATTCAGAATTTCACACGTAGATATGTTTAAAGAAAGTGAGCATGGTTGTTTAAATGTTCTGAAGGCTGTTAGTGAAGAGAAGTAATCTGAGTGGCAGATTCTGAGGAACCCTGCTATTTGCTATTTGGGTAGACTTTGAGCTCTCAGACCAGAGCCTGCACTCATCAGCAATTTTTTTAATCTTTTTTTTTTTTTTTTTTTTTTTTAACCTTTAGATGCCTTTAGAAGGTGTTCCCTATACCACTCCAGGGTATTTATTTTTCAAATTGTTTTCCTAATTACAACCGTATGTTGTGATTTCTTTCCCTATAGCTGCCTGTTTTTGTTTTACTTTTCATTGAGTGATCTTTTAGCTTCACACTTCTTAAACTGGGGTACATGTGGTCCCCACAATGATGTACCAGGGGTGACGTGAAGCTACAAGACAAACTTGAACTATCTTTCCAGAGGGTTTATTTTGAAAATGTGGAAAAGAAGCATCTTTCCAGAGGGTTTATTTTGAAAATGTGGGAAGATATTACAATGCCGTTGACTCTGTTACTTGTCCTTTGGCAAGGTTCTTACTTACCCAGTATGTTCATAAATTAAATAAATAAGAGAGAAGATAATTCAGAGTGGGCTCCATGCTCAGTATGGAGGCCAATGTGGGGCTCGATCTTGTGACCCTGAGATCATGACCTGAGTCAAAATCAAGATCTGGACGCTTAACTGACTGAGTCATGCAGGTGGCCCCTGTTCCTAAGTGTTTTAATCTGAAAATAGGAATAGTACTAGTGTCTACTTTATACTTGGTTGTGAGAAATGAATGGGCATTCAGAAAACTTCCTGGCACATAGTAAACTTTTAGCAGGTATTAGCTATTGTGTCTTAATATTATTCATCCCCCCCCCAAGCAAATATAAGCAAGGAAGGAGACAGGAAATGCTGGGTGGAGATTAAGATAGGAAGATCAAAGATAATCTCACGGAAAGGGTGAAGGTGACATTTGAGTAAAGATCTGAAGGGGGATAAGCATGGATTCTGGGAGAAGAGAATTTGAGACATAGAAAACAGCCAAATATGAAGAGCCTAAGGCATGCCTACCATGTTTAAGGAATGCCAACAGGGCCGGAACAGTGAGTGAAGTGGTAAGCAGAAGGAAAAGAGATGAGGGATGGGTAGTAGGTCATGTAAGGCTTCATAGCTTTTACTCTGAATGAAACAGCCATCATCTGCAGAGGAGTGAGATAATCTCATTCATGTTTTTTAACAGTCTCTCTGGCTGCTGAGTTGAAAAAAGACCACAAGGAAGAAAGAGTGAAAGCAGGTAGGCTACTGCAATAATCCATTTGAGAGATGATGGTAGCTCAGATCTAATGGTGACATGGGGTGGTGGTAAGAAGAGAGAAAACTTCTGATACACCTTAAAGGTTAGAGTTGACATATTTTACTGTCAAATTAAACGTGAAATATGAAAGAAAGAAGGAGTCAAGGGTGTTTTTGAAGTATCTGGCCTAAGCACTAAAAAATTTAAGTTGCCACTAACTGAGATGGGAGGACTGATCACAGGAGGAGTAAGCTGGTGGAATGTCAGAAGGTACTGCAGATACAGAAATTTCGAGATGCCTAGTAAACATTCAAATGGAGATATTAAATAGTTAAAGCAACTGGCTTGAAATTCGGGGAATAAGTTCAGGTTAGAGTTACAACTTTGGGAACCACTAGCACATGATATTTATTTTTATTATTTTAAAAAGATTTTATTTATCTAGAGAGAGAGGGAGTGTGCGCACATGCCAACAGGGGAGGGATAGAGGAAGAGAGAGAATCTCTAGGTAGACTGCGCTGAGCACGGAGTCCAACATGGGGTTTGATCCCATGACCCTGAGATCACAACCTGAGCAGAAATCAAGAGTGGGATGCTTAACTGAGCCATCCAGGTGCTCCAGCATTAGCACATAATATTTAGAATCATGATACTGAATGAGATCACCTAGGGAATGGTACAGACAGAAAAGAGAAAGGCCTAAGGATTAAGCTTTAAGGTTTTGAGCTCGTTTCTTCGAGAAGTGGAAGGATAAAGAGGTAAGAGATGAGGGAGGGAGAATCAGCGAAGAATAAGAAGAGCGGTGGAAATTCTACAGTAGTATCCTGGAAGTTGAATGAACAAAATGTTTCACAGTGAAGAGGGTGCTTGACTGGTAAATGCTGCTGATACATACATCAAGGAAGTTGAGGGCTGAAAGGAGACCATGGATTTTGTAACAATGCTGTCACTCATGATCTTGACAGCATTCTGGGTGACTATAGTGGGTAAAATCCTGCCTGGAGTAGATTCAAAAGACAATGAGAGAACAAGTTTAAGGAGGTAACAAGTTTAAGCAACACTTTATATTCACACTCTAGTTAAATGTGATGATGTCGATTTCAGTGGAATTTCAGTGGAAAATTCTCTTTATCAAATTATCTTCACACAACAATTTATTCTCCATTTAAGAAACAGCAAGTATCTAAATACAGGAAAGCTGCTATTTTGATGGAAGGAGAGAAAGAGAAGAGGACTGTGGGAGAACAGGAATTAAATATCAGGAAAATTAATAATGGTGTATTAAAATTCATGTACTGGCTGAAACTAAACAAAAATGCATCCAGTTTTAGCACAATTTCTAGTGCAATCAGAATCACCCATGGACCTTTAAAACACACCTGCATACCTAGACTTCATCATTCAAAGATTCTAACTGAGCAAGTCTAGGATGAGCCTTGGGCATCCTTACTGAAAAGCTCCACAGGTGTTTTATGAAACCTGAAAGCATCACAGCCCAGCATGAGTTGAGAATCACAAGAATACAGTAGTTTAAAACACAAAATAAGCCCAAACAATTAGGCTCCTCTGAGAAGCTCAGCAGTAAAACCACTATTTTTAGAAGATTTTAAAAGGACAAGTGGTACTAGTGGTTGTATGGGGCTGCATGTTGCAAAGGGGTGATAACCTAGTATTTTCCAACCTACAATACTTGGAACAACTCACTGGGATCCAAAAATGACCACGATATGTTGTTGCTCTAAAGGACTCCCAGCTAATCTACAAAACTGCATAGTCAAGAAAACACACAATGAACCACCACTTTCTTATCTGAAGGAGTTTAATGGTTTCCTACTGAAGATGAAGTAACTTAAGGAATCAAATAAAATATATAAGACAGAAATTGTCTCTACTTGAATTAAGTGATATAATTTAGTATTATGTCAATATCAACTAGCTTATTTCAGAAAAGGATTATCAAGTGAGATAGACTCACCAATGTTTTTATCCATGGTTCCAAATAAAAAGAAAGGCTGCTTTAGTTGATGTTTAAAGGAGGCTGAAAGAAACACATACTGCAAACAGAATTCAAAATCTCTCTTAAAGGTAAATTATTCTAGGACTTGCAAGAAGTTAGATTTTGATATAAAATAAGACTAACAATATTATATTAGAAAAATGAAAGTACTGGAAGAATAGAGAAATCGCCTGGTCAAAGCAGGCAGATTTACTGACTATCCAAGGCCCCTAAATCTCTTACTAAAATGTGTTTTTATGAATTTTTATCTGTAGAAATTTTCAAGGCAAGTCAACACCACCATAGAGAAGAGAATTCACTGAAAAGCAAGTCTTAAAATATTAAGAAAGTAAGCAAACCAGGGTGGATTATGCTGCAGATGTGATAACCTTATCCTTCAAACTTTAAGTTATACGGCAGTAAAAATGAAATTCACAATTTGTCCGAATACTCTCAGAGGTTTTGAAAGTAGTGTGATTTGACACTTACAAAAGATGAACTAATAACCCTGATAGTCATTTCCACACGTGAAATCAAACAGACACCAAAAAGCCCAGCATGGAACGTGACCCCACCTTCAGCATCATTACCTTGAGTGTAGGCAGCATCATCAGATCCCATACTCAACTTCCGTGCTTCACTTATTCTATCCACATGTGCTAAAGCAGGGTCCGTGAGGTGCTGCATATTCTCTGTTTCTACATAATGATCAGGATGGTTTAGAAGATTTGTAAGTTCAAAGGTAGGGGACACCACCCCCGGTGAAACTGCAGGGGGTTTATTAGGAGAAACTGTAATTTTGAAAGTATATTTTGTATTGGGTTGAGTGACCACGACTCGAGGAGAAGTTGCAGAGTTACTGCCTATTGCTCGACTTTTGGGAGGGTGGTGATGAATAAAGGCAGGACCCATGCTCACTTGCCCAGACATATTCCTGGAGGCAGCAGATGCTCCAGAGTTTGTGGATATGAAGAGAGTGGGCTGGTTCCGCATGATCTGTTCATCTCCTGGGGCAGCATTAGCTGAAATATAGACCTTGGGTTGACTACGGGACATCATCTCATCAGTATTTGGGGGACTGGCAGCTATGTAAACAGTGGGTTGATTTCTATTTAAGGTCTGGCTGTTGACTGAAGACGAACTGCTGGAGGCTCGAGGTCCAGAAGAACGCAATTTTGAAGAGCTGTTTCTTTGTGGGGGTTCAAGTTTGATTTCGATCTGGTTTTTTCGAGGTCCTGTTGAAATATTCTGAATGTTATATTGGCTATGGGCAGAAGACTGTGAGCTACCAGATGAATGAATTGTTGGTGGCTGTGGAGTAGTAGGTGAGCTGATAGGCATGTAGACATGAGAGGTCTGGTGGCCTTGCTGGTTTGGCTGCTGGGCTGAGGTATGTGACATAGGATTCGATGCAGGGTAAGTAGTCCAGGGACCAGGTTGTGAAGGTTGATAGGCTTGTTGAGGGTTCAGAGGATTAAACTGAGATACCCAGCCAGAATGCTGTTGCGTCTGTCGAGTTGTACCACTAGGAGTTGTAATGTAAGGCCTAATATAGATAGAATTTCCCTGTGGACTGTTAAGTACAGGTGGAGGTACACCATGTATGTGCAAAGATGTGGGAGTGTTACGACCAGTCTGGATATTTGGGGCTAAAGTTACCATAATGGGATTAAATCTGGGAGTTTGTTGAGAAAGGTTAGATGTTCCTTTGCTGCCTAACTGAAATCCAAGATGTGGTGCTGAATTTGAAGCACCAGATGTACTAGACATTCCAAAAACATTAAAGCCTTGAGGAACTTGAGCTGGTGCTGTCTGTGGCTCCTGTTGAAAGAGTTCATTATTGGGCTGACCACCTTGAAGCTGTCCATCACTAATGCTGTGCGTTAGAGTCCTGCTTCCATTCATTCTAGTTCCTTCTCTTCCATGGTGGTAAACATTCTGTGACTGCAAGTCCAAGTTGAGAGAAGTCATGTGATTTCGTAGGCCAGAAATTCCAGAGTCATCCGAGAAATTCAAGTCTCCTTCACCATAAAGATACCTTGTACTCTCCTGAGAGAGAACGGCACAGCAAGCATCCAGGTTATTATTATTCTATAAAACAAAATAAAAAGTTTTATGTTAAGAACCAGAAGGTAAAGCTTACACTCTCACCACTACTAAAATATTACGTGATTAACAAGTGATACAATTCTAACAGACCTCTGAACCTTTTGAGAAGAACTATTTTTTTGTGTAAATGCTTGAATTACAAATCGTCACTACTAACATGATGGAAAAGCTCTCTAACTAGCAATAGCTGACAGCAAACCAAGTTACTGTTCCTAATGTTTTAGGAGCTTTTTTACAGTAAAATGGATTCATGCAAATATAGTAAAATTATAACATAATTAAAAACACGATTTGAATGCTGAGCAAAATACAACCATTCAAGTATCATATTCATTAGGCATATAATACTATGTAATTAAATGTTTTGCACATTCAAGTGCTATATGAGTTGTCTTAAACTAATGACTGTCTAAAAAATTATACGTGTAGGGAGTGCCTGGGTGGCTCAGTCAGTTAAGCCTCTGACTCTTGATTTCAGCTCAGGGCATAATCTCAGGATTGTGAGATCAGGCCCTGTGTCAGGCACCATGCTCAGCACAGCGTCTGCTTAGGATTCTCTCTCCCTCTCCTGCTCTTCCCCCTGTTCACAAACACGCTCTCCAAATGAATAAATAAGCTCTTTCAAAAATTATATTATGCAGTATATCAACAGAAAAAGTCCTAAAATAACACAACAAAGTCATCTCAATTCCTTAATGCTTCCTTTTAACTTGTGTAAAAAAATTTCCCACACATATGAAATAGAAACTCAAGGTAGCACGTAGAGCAACTGAACTCTTACCCCTGCCTTTAGAGAGCACTATACAAATCTACTCCACAGAAATGAAAACAAAACCAAAAAAGCACCCAGATTATTTCTAAAGAATCCTCAAGACACTGACCAATCACTACTCATAACTCATACATAAAAATATTTACTGAGCACCTAAAATATGCACAGTACTCCGAGACTGTGGAAAACTCAATAATGACATACAAAACCAAAATTTTCCCTAGAAGAGACTTGCAACTCAATTAGAGAGACAAACCATGGATTTATGAAAAAGTAACATTATTAAAACAAGACAATGTGCCAATAGTAAGTGGTTTTTAAGTTCAACAGAGAGTTGGTATTGCAGACGACTGTACAGAGAAATGGGTTAGTAATGGGGGCTTAGTCTGATGGGCTTCATATGTAGTATATGCAGGACTTGCATAGGAAAAAAAGAATTCCTGGGGAAGGAAAAGGCATGAGTGACGACAGATATTGGTGTGGTATCTAATTCTAGACAATATCTATTCTAAACAAGGTTAACTACAAAAGACTTAAAGATTTGTACTGGAGATTTGGTGGAACAAATATGAAGAAAAATAGATTGGGATTAAATACAGGCATACCTCCTTTTATTGTGCTTTGCAGATACTGTTGTTTTTTACAAATTTAAAGTCTGTGGCAACCCTGTATTGAGCGAATTTATCGGCACCATTTTTCCAATAGCATTTGCTAACTTCATGTCTCTGTGCCACATTTTGGTTAACTGTTGGAATATTTCAAACTGTATCATTACTATTGTATTTGTTAGGGTAATCCCTGATCCACTGATTTTTTTTTTTTTTTTTATGATTTACTTGTTTTTTAGAGAGAGAGAGAGAGAGTGCATGTGGGAGCATGTGGGGTTGGGGGAGGGGCAGAGGGAGAGAAAGAGCATCTCAAGCAGGCTCTGTGCTGAGTGCAGAGCTCAACCCAGGACTTGATCCCACAACTCCTGAGATCATAATCTGAGCTGAAACCGAAAAGCTGGATGCTCAACAGACTAAGGCATCTAGGCATTGAATCCAGTGATTTTTGATGTTACTACTCTAATTGTTTTGGGGTGCTATGAACCATACCCATGTGACATGGTGAAGTTCACTTGTAAATGTGTGTGTTCTGACTGTTCCACTGACTGTTTCTCTCTTTCCCTCTCCTTGGATTTCCCTATTCTCTGTGACACAGGACTAAACTTAGTAATTTAGGACTAAACTTAGTAAACATGGTGCCAAACAGCAAAGTTGTAAATGCAAAGGATTTTAAGTTCTTCAAAGAAATTAAAAGTGCTACTCCAGTGAGCACATGAATGGTAAGAAACCAAAACTGTCTTATCACTGATATGAGAAAGTTTTAGTGGTCTGGATAGGACAGCAAAACAGTTTCCCCATTCCCTTAAGCCAAAGCCTAATCCAAAGCAAGGCTCTAACCTCTCTTCAATGCTGTGAAGGCTGAGACAGGTGAGGGAGCTGCAGAAGAGAAGGCTAAAGCTAGCAGAGGTTGGTTCATGAGGTTTAAAGAGAGAAGCCGTCTCCATAACATCAAGTGCAGGGTGAAGCAGCAGGGGCTGATATGGAAGCAGCAGCAAGTTCTCCACAAGATCCAGCTGAGAGAATGAATGACAGGGGCTACACTAAACAACCAATCTTCAATGTAGATGAAACAGCCTTATATTGGAAAAAGATTCCGTCTATGACTTTCATAACTATAGAGGAGAAGTCAATGCCTGGCTTCAAAGGACAGGCTCACTCTCTTGCTAGAAGGTAATGCAGCTGGAGACTAAGTTGAAGCCAATGCTCATTTACTATTCCAAAGACCACAGGGCCCTTAACGATAATGCTGAATCCACTGTTTTTGCTCTATAAAGGGAACAACAAAGGCTGGATGACAGCACATCTGTTTGCAACATGATCCACTGAATATTTTAAGCCCATTGTTAAGAACTACTACTCAGAAAAAAGATTCCTTTCAAAATATTATTGCTTACTGACAATGCACCTGGTCACCCAAGGAGCTCTGATGGAGATGGACAATGAGATTTACGTTGTTTTCACGCCTGCTAATACAATTTCCATTCTACAGTCCATGGATCAAGGGGTCATTAGACTTTCAGCTTTATTATTTAAGAAATATACTTTGTAAGATTATAGCTGCCACAAACAGTGATTCCTGTGATAGATCCAAGCAAAGTAAACTGAAAACCTTGAGAGCATTTGATTCATGGGAAGAGGTCAAAGTAGCAACATTAACAGAAGTGAGGAAGACGCTGATTCCAACCCTCATGGATGACTTTGAGGGGTTCAAGACTCTATTGCAGGAAGTAACTGCAGATGTGGTGGAAAGCGCAAGAGAATTAGAAGTGGAGCCTTAAGACAGGACTGAGTTGTGTAATCTTATGACAGAACTTCAACGAGTGAGGAGTTACTTCTAATGAATGAAAAAAAGTGGTCCTTTTTGAGATGGAATCTACCTCTGAAGATGCTGTGAAGATTGTTGAAACGACAACAAAGGATTCAGAATATTACATAAACTTAGTTGAGAAAGCAGTGGCAGGATTTGACTGATTCCCATCTAGAAAGAAGTTTTTTCTCCTGTGGGTAAAATGCCATCAAACAGCACAGCATGCTATAGAGAAACTGTTTGTGAAAGAGGCAACTGATTTAGCAAATTTCACTGTTGTCTTATTTTAAGAAACTGCCACAGCCACCCTGACAGCAACTACCACCCTCATCAGTCAGCAGCCGTCAACAAGGAGGCAAGACTCTCCACCAGAAAGAAGAGTGCTACTCACTGAAAGCTCAGATGATGGTTAGCATTTTTTAAATAAAATATGCTTTAATTAAGGTATGTTCATTGTCTTTTTAGACATAATGCTACTGCACGGTAAACAGACTATAGTATAGTGTAAACATAATTTTTATATGTACGGGAAACCAAAAAATTTGCTTGACTTGCTTTGTTATGACATTTGCTTTGTTGTGGTGGTCTGGAACCAAACCCACAATATTTCCAAGGTATGCTATAATTAAGAATTTTGATAAATGAGTCACACTAAAGTCTGGACTCTGATATAGGCAATGGGGAGAGCCACTGACTATGAATGAATGGAGAAGTGAAGACACAAGAGTAGTGTGGGTAGGTAGTCTGTTGATAATCGAGATGAATAGGAGAGGGAAAATTTATTGACAAGACCACTACTGGAAGATGTGAAATAATGACTGTTTGACAGTGGACACAAATTATGAAAGACTACAAATAAGCAATTAATAACAATTTGGCTAGAAGAGAGAAAATGACTTCAAAGAGGACTGGAAGATTAGAAGCCTGACAGAAAGAGGTCAATTTTAGACATAAAAAAGATGAATAACCAAGTTAAAATGTCTATAGGTGGTTTGAAAGAAGATAAAATCTAATTAAAGGAAACTGAACTACAAAAGGCATCCTGAGGTACAGTTTAGAAATGATGGTCCACAGTTTGAATGGTAATGCCAAAACAAAGTTAGTGAGCAAGGTTTGACTTTTTTTCCTCCCAACTTAACAGTTCAAATCTCTCATTCTACAAAAATTCTTTTACCCTATTCCTAACTCTGAATAGATAGATATTAGTTTTTCAAATAAAGTTTAAAACTTCACCACAATCTTTATCAACCAATTACTGTCATTATAGTTAGATCTCATCTTTTGCCAAACATAATTGGTGCTTTTTGCTTCAAGCAAAATTGCTATTCCTGTAAATTCTCCCCACTAAACCAAAGCTTACAAAGACCCCATCTTCTCATCTCTTCTCTACCTACATCCCCAAAGTAAAATGTGTATTGTCTACTTAATCCAATCCCACACTTCCTTTTTGAAAGTGGATACTCATTATTTACAAAGTCTTCCTTCTTAATTCTGAGTTCTCAAAAATCCCTTCAATCCTTTATCAAATCCGATTATTCAACATGTTCTAGTCCCAGTAATATGCTAGTAACTCAGACGCCCTTAGGTTTCTTAAGACATCATTTTCTTATTAGCAAAATACTGGTAAGTAGTATACGTACAGGGATTTTATAAAGCCACAATAGGATAAAAGAAAATGTACTTTTAACTAAATTCATTTAAAAAATTTTAAACATATTAAAAAATAAAGGGTAAATATGATAAACTCATCTATATTCATCCAGCTTTAACAATATCAACATATGGCAAATCTTTT